CAAATAACACCTCCTCCAAAAAACATAAATCATGTTGCAATTTCAAGTGCGTAATGATTGTTAATCTAATAATTTTATGGTTATTGATTCTAATAAATTTTGGAGTATTAAGAAATGATTTAGATCATGTTAATGGCAGATTAGATAAAGTAGAAGAAAAAATATTTTGAACACCCTCTAATGTTCTGAAATGACACCATTAATAATTATATAATTCCTACTTTTCCTTTCTTTGAAGCTAGCCTTTTGGATATTCCATCAATTCGTGGGCGTTTACTTTTTATTATATATAAAATAATTTCTATTATTATTTTGGGGATCTATTTATAAAATTCCATAAGCATTGTAAAATCTTTTATATGATATTTGATGTTTTTATTTTAAAATTTACTATTATTATTATAAACAACATTTTATAATAATATACGGTTCATACATATTGCACTTATCCCACGTTCCAGAATACCAATATTATATAAATAATTATATATAAGATTTTATAATATATAACACATTTTGTCTAAAACCATCCACATCTGAATTACTATTCTCCGATAGCATCATCAAATTTTCGACTTTCTTCAAGGCTACGATATTTTAAATCCTTTTTTTCTTCTTCACGTTTTATACGTTCTCTTTCTTTGATATTTTTTACATATTGAGCATGACGTTCCCCTTCTTCATCGGCTATACGTTAACGTTCGGCAACTTCAGATCTTGTTAGTTTACGTCTTTTATTCCACTTACCCTCAACTTTGTGAGCCATACCCCATAACAAATCGTTAACCTTTGTGCCGTTATAACCTTTACGATACCATTTATCAATCAGGGTATCACAGGTTACACGTGTTTTTGGTTTACTCAAATCTACAGTGGCTAAATAGATTTGTCTAATTGCACGATCCCGTTCATTATAGATCCTACAATTCCATTTTATATCCCATTCAAATTTTTCTAAACGTTTATAGATTTCGTCGTCACACCTTCCACAATTCATAAATCCATGAATAAAACCTCATAATGGATAATGATCTAAATCATGACTTTATCATTAACCATTTAATCTAGTTTTATCGACCCCAAGACTATTCATCTTATCATGAACGAAACCATCTAGTGCCGTGTCAAGTTCAGCACATTCCCTTTTATTCTTGACACTTTGAATTTGGAATTCCTTTTTGGACCTCTTATAATGAGATTCGTTACCAACATCGTTTACATAATCTATGGTTCCTCTGATTGTTTTTTTAGTATTGCTAATTACTGAATGCAACACATCCAACTCATTTTCTTTCGTTTGGACCTGCTCTGTAACTTTTACACCTTGATCATCGATATATTTTATTACATCCGCAAAAATATTCGAAGTGCTATCTTTAAATTTCTTTACTCGATCATCCACTTCCCATTTTTTACACTCAAGCTTTGGTCATCGATCGGTCTTGATGATTTCAATCATTACAAACCGTGGTCTTACATCTTCATAAACTATCGGGCAATTCATTAGATCACCTTCAAATTTATCATAAACCCCAATGACATGTAATATGGAATCCAATACCGTTACTACATTACCCACTAACATTGGTGGAAGTGTAAAAAAATTGACACCTTTCAAAACAATATCACCTATATCTTGTCTCTCAATGTCTACAATAGTATCCAATGTGCTCTTCTTCGAAAATTCCAACATCATATATTTTGGCATTCCCTTTACGGTTTCATCCATGGTATTAAACTCATCATTAAGCACCCTTCTAGTGACACAATTATCACGACAAAACTTAAAATCATTCAATAAAGACCGAATCTGATCGCCAGCGTTCTTAAGAATATCATCACAATATTTTTTAGATTCGTCACTATATTTATGGATATCATCCTTTATCATTTGACATTGTTTTAACAAAACATCCACCTCACCCTCAATTCACTGAGGTTTGTTTTTTTAATTTCGGACCAAACGCACCTCACGACGAATATCTTGTTTTTTCCACAAAACTTAAGCAGTTGTTGTACACGCTCCAACCTTCGTACACCATCCTGTTGTTGAACCTCATGAATATATTTAACAATCCGTTCATCGATTATCAACAAATACAAATCGAGCAACGACTCACGAACTCCATTCTGTCGTAATTGTTCAAGAATTCGTTCGAATTCTTTTCCAGAAACACCCAACTTACTCATCTCCTCCTTACGGAGTCCCAAATCATCTTCAACCTGAGCCCGTTCAATCTCTTGTTTTTCCAGATCCGTCTCATGAGTTTAGTACCAAATGGTACCTTCAGTTCAACGTTTTCTTGACCACGCAAATTCAATGACCGTGTGATATCGGATCCCACCTCAGCACGACCGCTTCCATCATCTACCTGAAGTGGGGTTTTCTTTTTTTCCGGAATAGGATTACTTTCAAAGGTTTTTTTTTAATGCTTCAGGTTCATCTACACAAGGTCTAATGATATGGGACAGATATTCAGTCGGAAAAACTTCACCCAAACCTGATCTTACCAAAGGTCCAGACTCTGTCGGCGATCCAAGCAAGGTAGGTTTTGATCCATTCGCAGAACTTTTTGTAGAATATCTCCACACCATTTCACCTTCACTAGACGAGGAGCTCCCTGAAAAGGACCTTAAGGCGGTAATAGCTCTTGATCTCCGGCTGATGGACTCTTCGATTCCGGAGGTGCGCAATGCGGCCGCCATTTTTGCCAGAATGGCGCTGAGGTTGATGAAACGCCGCGCGCGCGTTCGCACGGCGGTGGAGAAATCACCTTTTTTTCTTCTTTACACCATCGCGTTGGTGACTTCGCAGTCGCAGGTTTCCGGTAACGTCCGTGTGTTCTTGGAAGAGGTTCTCAAGCGGTTTGGCTATACGGCAATCGATCCGATCTTTTCCATCGGTTCCAAGAACTCTCTTCGCTATACACACAAGATGATAAAACTCGCGGCGGACGGGCAAAACGAGTTCGATTGCTTTTTCATGGGCACCGCGATGCGGGCCGGGGGGGGGGGGGGGGGGGAAATCGCGGTCGAGGACGACGCGGACGACCGTTGGCGTCGTGAGGCCCTGACAGATCGGCTGCTCCGCTGCGCCCCTGGAAAACGTCCGCGGCGGGCGGACACGGGGCAGGGAAAGGGCCAACCCACCTCAAGAAGCTGCGTGAACAAAAGGAGGCGAGACAGTCTCTCAAGCGGTTGCGCGTGTAGGAGGATATCCGGAAGGGTGAGGAGTTTGTGGGGAGTGGTGCGGGGGACATCAAATCAGGTAATATCGAGCCATTCGCATACGTTCCATTAAATCGTACCTATATAAACCTCCATATCAGTCGTTAAAGTTTACATCGTTTTAAAGTAATTCAAAGCAAATTCTTTGAAAGAGAAAAGGCGATCTGCAAAGCTTCGAAGCCTAAGTGAAAAAGAAAGTAGAATAATAAAAAGAAAGGGAGTTGGATATGACAACGATTGGAAGGAAGGCGGAGTACCGTGTTTAATTTCCAATGACTGGAGTAACATCTACGATGTGAAAGATGATCAACTAATTCATGTAAACTTTAAACAGCAACACAGAACAAAATGAATCGGTATGTGTACATGTTGGACATCGTAAATGCGGGCATATTTCACAAATTTGACGGTTTACGGATGTCTTGTCCAACTTCTTAGA